TCCAAGATCTTATAACGGGATTGCTACGGAGGTAGCAGTTTGTCGTTGATGTTTGTTACCTCAGTAAGGTTCTCTCTCCTCTCGTTTAAAAACAGACACTTGACTGCCCCAATGCTGGAGAATACTTTCATTAAGAATCTATTCTTGAATTGTTAAATTTTACACATAAATGTGATATGATAAAATCTCTCTAAATAGCATTTCAGTAATTAGACAGTAAAAAATGGGAAGATTTTGTTTTGCCTGATGTTTCTCCCTGAAATGCTCGTGAAAGATTGTAGTGCTGTCTAGTATACTAGTGAGCTTCCATACAGCACGTGTCCATGTTTATTGGCCACATATCAAAAAAAAAGGTATTGAATAATGAGAAAGATTTTTGGATTCTTTTTGTCTTAATTTTTTTTTCTTCCATTTTACTGAGAATGTTTTTGAAAATATTACAAATTGCCCTAGTACCCCAGTAAAACAAATAAATTGACAGAAATGCTGTGAAAAGATTTTCAGGTACTAGACAGGTTGTTCTCATTTTAGTTTGTTTCTGAGCTTGAAATAGGTTCGATATACTAATTTAAGCTTTGTTTACAGAAGGTTCTTGCTTGATTAGTTTCTAAGGTGTTTATGAGGCTGTCCAAGTCGTGCTGAAATTAAAGCAGAGTTCTGTTAAACACCAGATTTAATTAAAGGTAACTGAGCATCATATCAATATTGAAGCATTCTGTGAGACTTCTGAAAATTCTTTACACCACGTACAAATAAAATTTTAAGTTTGCAGTTTTTCTGTATGTGTTTTTGTAGACCTATGCATGTATGCCATACGGTATCTTGTACCATTAGGCACTTAGTCTAATTTGATGTTTCTGAATGCCACCGATACAGGTAATGTTAAACGAATGTGAAAATGATTGTGACCTAAAAGGACATAAACACAAACTTGAAAGCAAGGAAAATCTTGAAGCCTGATGCTATTAACCTTTAGCTGTTTGGCTAGCTGAGTAGCTGTATAGAATTTAAGTATTTGTGCTGCTTTAGCCTGGTGAAGTGTTACGCAGATCCCAAGTGTCTATCAGGTGATCTCCTTTTGCAAACATGAAGTTCTTATACAAGCTTAGCTGCAAAATCCAGTAGTTCTTACCCTAGAATCTCCTGTGAGTAACAAAGAATTTATTTGTGTGCTTCTTATCATGTTAAGTATCTTCTCTTTGATAGACATGCTATATTTGTGATGAACAAGGCAGAGAAAGTAAAGCAGCCACTGGTGCTTGTATGACATGTAATAAACATGGATGTCGACAAGCTTTTCACGTAACATGGTAAGTATATTTTATTATTTAACATCTCTGATGTTCCAGAAAGTATCAATGCACACAGTGTAATGAATAAACTCTTTATTTACTATATTTCTGTACTCAGCAATATATTAAAGTGGTTTGTGTAGAAATATCTGACTTTAGTATAATCGAGTTTACTAACAGTACGGCAGTGGCTGCATGGACATGGCTGTGAGCTGCAAAAGCAGTCTGATAATACTCCCTTGGATTGTATTAAATGCGGTGTGCTCCTGTGAATAAGGTTTAGGGTTGTGGGTTTTTTTTTTCTGTCTTAGGTTATTTTTCTTAGATGATATTTTATACAATATGGGAATGTGAAGACATTGTTTACCTGTGAACTGATTTGATGTTTACTTTTGGTAAATCAGTGGGAAAAATTGTTGAGCTGTACATAAAAAGCACTAGACTCACCCCTTCCGGTACAGATTTCCAAACATTTGGGAGTAATTCACCTCACTGGTTTTATCTAAATGGTACACATCTATCCTGAACTATTCGTTTAGGTTTCATGTATAGCTGTTGCAGAAAGACAGCTGTGTCCACCATCTGATTCATTCTACTTTAAGATACTTAGGTTTGCTTGCATTCAGGAGATGCTTGTCGCACTTTATGGACTTCTGAAAGAGGCTGGATAATTAGATTAAACCACATATCAACAGGTAAAAGGAGGCAAAAGGAGTTCCACCCGAAAATTTACAGGCATTATTTGTTTTTTTCAAATTCAGCTGAAGCTATTTTGCAATAGATAGATAGCAGATTTACACAGACTGTCTAGCTACATAATCTGTGGATTTACCCATCTATTTTATGAGAGCCCCAGTATGCTTCTTCACGACCAGCTCAGTCAGGGAAATGGTATTTGCACACCTATTTAAATTACATAAATGTATTTTCTTCAGTGTAATCAAGTGATACTTTGAATGTCTTGTGCAGAGCTTGAAGGGTATAACTCTGTAGTTTAGGCGCTGATTTCTTGGCAACTCTTTTTTTTCTTTTAACTACTTGACTGTCTGGCAGGTTTTACTCTTTCATAAGCATCTAATTTTTCATTGGATGTGATCATTGTCAAGTTTCTTTTTATGGTGAAAATGGATTGTGTTCCTCAAAGCTTGCATACCATGTAAACAGGTTACTTACGGATGTGAAAAAATTTATGCATCCAAATGTTTGGATGAAAAGGTCTCTCTTCTTTCAAACACTTGGATGTATGCAAGAGTCCTTTTCATCTTTTATCTTTCTTCCACACCCCTGTTTTCAGTGAATACCATGAAGAATGTGAGCATTAGGCTCAAAATTAAAATACGTATCTTGCCAATTTTTAGATATTTTTGATTCTAAAAAAAACAGGTATGTACTATCAAATGATATCTAGCTGGAGAGTGCTGTGACTTAGGATACTGAGAGGCTTCTGTAATATTTAACAAAATGGAAGAAAAATGTGAAAAATACAGAAGGCAGAGATCCAGGGTGAGGTGTATCAATTTTGGGTTAACAAAACTGATGTCTAAGGAAGAATGAGCTTGAGTCCCTCTGTTTTTCTGTGGCAAGCTTAGAATGATAAATCTTCGCTTAAAGAGATCCTGTTAAATGTTTTCTGTAGTTGGCATCTGCTGTAGATGTGCCTGTATTTATGAAGCAGTATTTCTGGGTTGCCCAAGAATATAATGTATAAATGAGGGGAAAATTATTTTAAAAAGCAATGATAATAAGCTGCCTTACATATTGTTCTTTCATTTAAATACTGCCGTGCATAATTTTGGCTGTAACGGTGCATTATTATGCTAATGAAATGATATGGAAAATGAAACTGAATATTTGGTTTTTCAATGTCTAACTTGGTTTTGATAAAGAAAATAAATCAACATTACGAATGGTGAAAAGCAAACTTGATTTGAAAAAATGTAGTAGAATAAGGTAATAATTAGCCCAGGCAAGGAAACTTGTCAGTGTTATTGTTTTTAAAAGAAATTAACCTGCCACAGTCTTTTAAACCAATAAATATGGTTTGATTTATTATGTCATTGAAGTTCTATTTTAAAAAAAAAAAATTAATGTAAATTTCCTGGTAAAACAGAGAAGGATGTATGCAACTTTAGAAAAATTTCTTCTTTGGATCTATCATATGGTTCTGTTAAAAACTGTTCTTTCCATAGATAATTTTTGGCTTGAATTTGAGCTAAGAATCATTGTAAATTGCTTGGTTTGTTTATTTGTGGGAGTACCTGCATAGTAAATGTAGATTTTCAAGCTGTAAGCTTGTGTGAGTTGCTCAAAGACTATGAAAAAGGCATCAGGCCAAAGTACAAACCATACATGTTTTTCACTGGGCTACTAAGGTTGGTTATGTGCTTGCATGCCATTAGAAGTCACCTGTGTGGAAATCTCTTCTATTAAATGCAGATATAAGTATCTGTACATTATCACCTGTGAGGTACAAGTTGATGTAAAATTGCTTTTCTTGAATGTTATTTGGTTTATTTTTAGTGCACAGTTTGCAGGACTTCTTTGTGAAGAAGAAGGCAATGGTGCAGATAACGTCCAATACTGTGGCTACTGTAAATACCATTTTAGTAAACTGGTATGTATTTGTTAAATTCTATAAATAAATGTCACTGACTTATTTTTTCACTCTGAATTGCTATTAATGCTAGAAATAATATTTTCATGTAGCTCAAAGTAGATTGTATTTCATTAAAACAATGTTTTAATCACAGTTACAGAAGTACTAACTGAAAATGTTTTTATAAGTCGTTACTTTCTAGATGTGTGGGTTTTTCCCCTCTGCCAGAAATAGCATGCACATTTAGTGGGTTTTTTCATTAAGTTCCTGTAAGGTTTTATTTTGCGATTTGATTAGTTGGCTTCTAGGAGTTTAGTCCATTTTGGACTTATCTAGAAAATATTACTTGTTACCCTGTCTATTAGAGAATGAAGAAGCCCTCCATTTCATTCTGCTTCTGTTACTCTTCCATGCCCCACCTCCCACCCCCCCCAGTGTTTTCCCTTTTGGTCTATCTCTCACTGTGTAGCCAGTGGATATTCCCTGTCTCTAAGTTCTCTGAAACACAACCTCAAGGAAGTGACTTGAGTTTTGATTTTTGGAAAAAAAAAAAAAACCCAACTTCAGAATTTCTCAGTTATTTCAGTAGGTTTTGGATCAGACCTCTGGAGTCTTTCCTATCACTTCTTGTCAGTTTGACAGTTCCAGATATCTGTTTCTGTGTATGTGTGTGGGTGTGTGGACTTGAAGAACTCACTGATGTTTAAAAAAAAGTTGTTTATGAATATTGAATTATGAAAATTAAATTATATAGACTGAAGTTCAGATACTGCTGTAAGTATAGTTAAACTTGCTGATTACTTGTTTTCACTGCTAAAACGGTGAATGCTTGGGTGACTTTTGAATGGGTTGCAATGAGGTAAAAACACAGGACCAATGAACCATTTTAGCTTTCTAGGAGAAAAAAGCTTGGTGAGGTTAGCTCTGTGCTCTTGTGAATATTGATGAGTTTGCTTCGTAATGAAGATAAGTCAGGGCTTTCTAGGCCCTTACGAAGCTAAGAGATTTTTTTATTATTATCTTGAGCTAAGTGTACAAAAAGAACAAAAACAGTCTATTACTTAGCAGTGAAGGCAAGCTCTTACAGTATTATACATTTGATTTGAATGTTCCAGTGCTGCTGTGATTGAGAACATGTATGTTTATTTAAAAAGCAAGTTTAATGATAAAGGCATGACTCCATATTTGACATGTAGTTAGCTAGCTTTCCATTACAAAACTGTAGTGGTGAGAACAGTAAAGACCAGCAAGATTGTTTGAGTGTTTCTTTAGGATTATTGTGACTGTTGATGCCTGATAAATACAGGTGTTTAGTATTTACTACTGAAGATGGTGGGTGGCATATATCTACTATACCACTGAAAACTTTGGTTGGCAAATCACTGACCTGAAGCGTCTTTATAATGCCGCCTCAGTTACGATACAATAACATTTTGAATGCTGGCCTAGCATAAAGCTACCCTTAATTGGTTTAGTGGTGGACTTGGTAATGTTAGGTTAATGGTTGGACTGGATGATCTTAAAGGTCTTTTCCAACCTAAATGATTCTATGATTCTATAAAGTATTTGCAGTCCCAGACTGGCTTCTCAAACATTACAGAAGTACAGGCAGTTATGTCTGCCGCTTGTAAATGCATACTTGATCATAGCATTCTGTATCCTATTTTTAAACCACTTTAATGAAAATAGTGCAGACAGGTCACTTGAATATAAATCATGAAGCCATAAAGCAGCCACCTCACAATGCATTTCAAGCATGTGGCAGTGCTAGCACTGTGGCTTTGTGTGATACTCATTTGAGCAGCATCTTTTCTGTTTTATGTTATGAAAACTTGAAAACGTGTCTCGCATCTTTTAACCTTTAAAAAGTGGCATATCTCATTTCTTTGTGGAAAGCATATCTTGCAAATTTGTGGGAAGTGTAAAAGTCAATATATGGATAGGCTTTTTTCCTGCTATACGTTGGATAGCCTTGTTAATGTTATCAATGTTAGTAATTTGTCAGCTTTTCAGTAACTGAAGGGTTTTTTTCTTCAAGCAGTAAGGCATCTTATCAGTTGAAATGCTTTATACTTTTTATTTATTCAAATGGTTCCTTTTCTCTATCCATAAATATATTTTCTCTTTTTAGAAAAAGAGCAAACGGGGATCTAATAGGTCATATGATCAAAGTTTAAGTGATTCTTCCTCTCACTCTCAGGATAAACATCATGAGAAGGAGAAAAAAGTAAGTGGATTTGTCGTTGCTAATTATGTGGCACATCTGCTTAATAGTAGCACTTTCTGATAAATTTCATTTTTGCTGAAAAGCGTGAAGGAAATCTTGTTCCTGAAGCACTGAATAATAAATAACCCAGGTGATAAACTAGAGGTACTAGGGTCCAGTGAGGAAACATCTTCAGGTGCATTTGTACGTGCACCTTCCTATTGCCATTTATTGTCAGTTGTGGGGTACACACTGAAACATATCCGTTAGGAAGGCTGTTTCCATGGAGCTTCCTTTGGTTTAGTTTTCCATGAGAAATTTTTTGTGTGTGGTCTTTGTGACCAGGCGGGAAAGAAAAACAGAGGTAGACATTTTAGCAAGTGTGCTGATAAACAGGTGCATCTAATTTTTTTTGTTTCAACCTGTTACATCTTTCTCTCCTCATCAAAGAACTGACGTCTCTTGTTGATGCATTTTACTGGTACTGGTGGTCAAGCCCACTGTGATGGCAAAATACCTTGTCATTCACCTGGGAATCTTCCTGTGAGGGTGCAAAGAACATAACTGACTGCTAATTTCTATCATTGGTGTATCCTTTTAACAATTTAACTTTATATATTTTTAAAAAAGAATTTCAAATTTATAATTATCATTACGTTTTCATTACTGCTAGCTTAATAGTTGTCTATGGGAAATTTGTCATCTAACTGCAACACTGGGTGATAACACAGTGGCACAGTAATGCAAATTTGCTTTGGCTCTTTTTTAGCCCTCCAGGAATACATGCAAAACTGCTCACCTGTGCGCATCCTGTAGAACTAACTTAATAGACTTTTCTGTGGGTGTGGGTAGACTTAGTTTTGCATTATTCAAAATCATTACAGAAAAATTAAAATCAAAGACTGTATTGACCAAATGTGTATTTATGAAGGAGCTATATTTATAGCGACAGGAAATTGAATAACAAATGTCAGTCTTCGGACCCTTAGTCGTCTTAATATTTGATTTGATTTTTAAGCTCACTTCCACTTTGGATGGATGTTGATCTCCATTGTGCTGGGATAATCTTCTAAAAAGTGTCTTTAGATCTGATTAATGGTGTAGGTGAATAGTTCCATCTTCATCTGGTAATGCAGAAGAGAGTGTGCACTGTAGTGTGGTTGTACCTCTAAATCTAAATTTATGAATAAAATGAGAAAAGTATGGGTTTTTGGCAGATCTTTTTTTTCTTAGTAACACATCAGTAGAAAAAAGCAATCTTGAATTACAGACTATAGAATTACCTGCAAGGTAAAACCTTACCAATACGTGATGTATTTTTTTCTTAGTTTGCTTAGTTTTTCACCACTGTCATATTTTGACAAAACATGACCTGAAACACATGCATGGATTTTTACTCACATTGACGAAACTTTGAAGTTGTATTTGAAGAAACTTTGAGGTGTGAGCATGAGACTCAATTTCGGCTTTTTATGTCTGAGCAGTACCCTGGTGGGTGGTGTGGTGTTTTTTTGGTGGTGTGGTGTTCTTTTTTTTTTTTAAGTTACTTTGGAGATACCATGCTTCTCCAGGTTGTAATACCTGTAAAATCTTCAGTGAATACTTGGAGAGGCTTTCTAACAGAGTGTGTTCAGCCAGTGTACCAGCTATTTTTTCTGCTAGCTGTTTGGCTTCTCCTGGTCTGGAAGTGTTTTGATGTGGATCTTCTAGAAATAGTTAATGTTTTTAATGCCTTTGCAAGCCCTGGCCTTTTTATGTGACTCAAAGTTTGCTAGAAGTAGGATAGTAAAGTTTCTTCTACCTTTCATGAACTGAAACATGGTAATCAAGAGTATCCCATGATCTGTAATACCAAGTGAAGCAATGCAGCCTGTTACTTGACATTCAGAGGTTCTCATGGCATGTTACAGCATGTTCACTTACCAAGTTTAATTTGCTTTATATGTTGTATAATAACAAAACACTAATCTAGTTAAAACCACCAAGTGGTGACAAAAGTTGCAGTGTCCTAAAGCTGTTAATCACCTAACTTTTTGTGGCTACAGGTATTTTGTTAGGCATTTTTAATCTTACATGTTCTATAGTTTAAAGAATGACCTGTGCTTTGCAAAATACTAATCTTCAGTCAGTGAACTGTATGTGGTATGGAGGCTCGTTCTCTTGGTAAATTTCATTACCTTCTGCATGTTATGTCTTATTTGATACAGCATGTCAAATATACAGTGTATCTTGGAGGAGTAGGGTCATTTTTAGGGTGATTTTCCTTATTTTCCTCTTCTGTAAATCCATTTAATGTATATCTTTCTTCCCAGATACAGTGGTGCCTCCCCCTCCCAGTAAGGGCACTCTAGTTTCTACTTTATCTTTCATCTTTGTTCTTTGGAAATTTGGATAATCTGATCTTTAGGCATCCTTAAAGCTTTCCCTTTTGCCAAGCAGAAGCCATATGAGTTGAGGATTGGAACCGTTTTTATTGCTCAGACCTCAAAAGCTATCCATTTGCATATAAAATACTATTCTGCAATACATAGAGGTTGGTCTGAAAATATTGATATGGGTAGCTGTCATTTTTGTAAACAGACACTGAGTTGAAAGCATGTGTTTTCCTTCATAATATGTATTTAGTCTCTTCTGGGCACTGTGCTTACAAAATTGATATCAAATATATAAGGGTATAATAATGAAAAAAAACCAACCAACCAAACCTTTGGTATGATTTAGTTTTAATGAGGAATTTGAAGCTACGGAATGAATAGCTTAGTTATATTCTGATTACTGCTGCACTAAATATTGTTAGTTTCTGTGGCAGAAATGTTATTTAGAAATGATTAGAGATGAGGCTGTGTGCCTCATAAGTAGGGTTGGTAGTATGCTGCTTGACACCCTGTTAGAATATCCCTTTTTTCAGGGCCCAGGTGTTTACCTCAAGCTTTTTGGGGAAAAACTTAGGCCACCATAAGGCTGTGGAAGAGCACCTTGACCTTTGTGTAGAGGAAGCGTTTCTTACCACTTATGTGAAAATTGGGCAAGCTTACTAGCATTGTATGTTTATGACTTCTGAAAAATGGGAATTTACTACGTAGTAAGTAACTACTATATAGCAGCTGAATTACACAAATTCCTTTTCTATTAGAAGTGTTTTGGTCTGGGCTGAGCAGAAGAGGAAATTTAAAACTCTGCTATGATAGCTCATATGATGCAAAATAAACAAAAACGGGCTTGTGACTGAAGACTGCAAATGTGTAAGAAGTGGTAATTGGAGAGGTAAAAAGAACAAAATAGTGATGAGGAGCTCCAGGGCACTATTGCAGAAGTTAGAGGGTGTCAGTCTGAGGAGAACCTAAAATACAGGAGCCAGGACAAGTGTTCTAAATGCTGAGCTACTGGCTGAAAGGAATTCATTATGGGCATCTTCTTGCTGCTTGTCCTGTTCTTAAAGAAATGTTATACCTTCTCTGATTTTTGAGGGGAGAAACGTGAACATCTGCGAAGAGTTTGAGGCAGTGTGTGACATTCAGCGATTTCCACTGTAGCTGTGAGTTTGGTGGTTAGGCCCATGGGAAGGGAAAATTTAAACCACACCTCTACTCAGTGAAAGTTTCCATAGGCTAGCTCTGTGTTCGGTTGTGAACTGCGTTTTGAACTGCCCCAACTTTCCCAGTATGTTGTGAAGGAGCCTACATTCGTATGTCAGGGCTATAAATTTCATTTGGGAGAAAGGCACTTCATGCTTTTTAATGTATTTTAATGCTCTATGTGGGCTGTTACAAATCAAGTCCTAAACACTCAGATCAAGTGTTCATTATGTATTCCTCACTATCTGAATAACCAAGAGTGAAAAGATAAAATTGACCGGCTGTGCATCACATAATATTCTGTGGCAAAAATAGGAACAGTCTGTAGTTCTTTGGGTTTCTGTTCACCTGCATAAGCAATGGTTTCCTTTTCTTCTCTTGATTAAAAGAAAAAAAAAAATTCTGATTTAGTCCTGAAGAGTTGATTTATAGTACTTTATAAAGCAGAATGTTGCAAAGGCAATTCTAATTATGTCATTCCTCTGTTAATTGTCTCATTTCATAAACTTAATGATGTTATTTGAACATTGGGGTTTTTGTGTAGTTTTTAGGGGAAAAAAGCTTGAGACTCATCTCAGTAATGCAGTATCCCACTGCATTTTTATTAATTTTTTAAGTTTTTGTTAATGAGTTTAATAAATTTGACTGTTTAATACTCTCAGCTGTTCTTGATGTATGAAGCAAAATTGTAAGAATGCTAAAGATAACTAGAAGTGTTTTGCAACCACTTTGAAATTACTTCAATTTTAATTATTGAAGTAATGCTAGATAAATATTACTCAAATGAGAATTGTGTGGTATGGATGCTAATGGTGATGCTTATCCATGTTGACTTCTTCCAAATTCTGTTCAGTCAGAGGGAAAGAAGAATGCCTCTAAAACAGCTCTAAAAACTGGTCAGTAAGTATATAACATATGTAGCTCAGTTTATAGATGATCTTTAATATGTATCTATGAGCTGCATAACCTGGTTCTTGTTTCCTAAGACTGAGTTTTTGTGTGGGTTCCCTGGTGTTCAAAAAGGGGTGACTTCATGCTGCAGTCTTTTGCTGTTGGTGCTGACGAATAGTATTTCTGTTTCTGGGCTCCTGTTGTTTACTGACTTCATAGGAGTATAATTTTTTCTTTCTTAACATATCTTTTCATGTCAGATTGTGTTGAAAGTCTAGTTATTCGGGAGAACTGACAGAGTGTGACTGTGTAAATAAAATTGCATTAGAAAGCTACTCTATCTGAGTATATTCAGTAACATATATCTTTAAAGTCTGCAGAATTAAGAGCAAAGGTGGCATTTTGTTTGATTTGTTGCCTGCTGAATTCTGTGTTAACTTGTGCTGTATCCTGTGTCAGCTGCATGTAATCTACTGGAACTGGCACCAGCTGGTATAGATGGCACAGCAAAGTGATCTGTTGTGGAGGTCAGGAAGAATGTGTCCTGGTTTCGGC